TGGATTCCAATTTTCTCTTCTCAAAATTTCTGTGCAAAATAGAACAATCTCGATTCTTCGATTAGGGTTTTGATTCCCCTTTAGATTTAGTGTCGATGGCAGCTAATCCACACAGGGGCGGTGCGGGTGGTTCCCTTTACGGTGGCGCTGCTCCGTATAGATCAAGGTATGATTCTATCATCAGTTTCTCTTATTTTTCGAATTTGATTCTGATTTCTTCCGCGGATCTTTTGGATAGAGGAAAAACTATGGATTTTATGGCTCCTATTTGTTTCGTGGACTCGTCTAACTATTGTTTATTTTGGTATTTTATTGCAGAGATGGGCTTAGCACAAGAAACGCTGGAGGTTCAGAGGAAATCCAGCTGCGTATTGATCCTATGCACTCTGATCTCGATGATGAGATCACAGGTCTCCACGGCCAAGTCAGGCAATTGAAAAATGTATGTACTGTATGCTTGTGTCTAAGTTGATCATATGGATTGGGAAATTTGTCTCTTCTTTTCTTATCTTTTAGTTTTTGTTATGGGCTTCGTTGATTAGGGAAGAGGTTAAGCTCTTCTGTGTCAAGTAATCGCAAACGAGATTCTTTCTCTGTTTTCCGTTGTAGCTCTTTTAGCTTTGCAAGTTCCTGGAACTTTTTTTTGTTGGTTGTTTTAGAATCTAAGGGCTATGTAATTTAAGTTGCATAGTTAAAAGTTTATCTATTGATCGCTTGTTTTATACGCAGATTGCTCAAGAAATCGGGTCAGAAGCCAAGTTTCAGAGGGACTTCTTAGATGAACTGGTATGTTTCTTGATTCCAATATGTATATGCTTACTCACCAATGAAGATGGGTTTCCTTTAACTATTTTCAAGTGGCTGTGTTCATTATTTTGGAATCTACAGCAACATCTACAGCGACATATGTTAGATAAATTCTACCGTAGCTTACAAACTAAGTGAATCTTTGATGAATCCATAGGTTAGATTATGTTCAGACTTATACTCAGGCTCTGGTCTGAACTCTGGTGGGTAGGAATAGATATCTTCCATCTCCACTAATTAGGTGAATGCAACATGATATGGTTTTAAGCTTATCATTGAGTACCGGTTTTGTCATGAAGGAAGGTTTTGGTGTTAAATATGTACTTTGCTTCTATTTTTCTTCTGTTACCTACAATACTTCCTAGAGAAGATGATG